ATTACAATGAAGAATAATAAATATATATAATTAATATAGAATAATAAAATTAAAAAGAGAAAAATTGATTATACCTATTGAGGATTCGCAATATACTGTTGTATCCTGGAACAGTAATATTCTTTTTATTACATCTCATCGCAATTATTGTTTGTCTAGCTACCTCTTCACAACTCACAAAAGGTATCATAGACCTAGAACTAAAATATTTATTATTAATATAATATTTTTTCATGAATTTACACGTTTACGTATAAAATAATTATTACCGTATATATGATTCCGCTTTCATGCCAGTACCAATGATAATGGTAGGACATACTACCGTTGTGTTGATTTCATATCCGTCTGACTAAAAAACAAAAAATATGCATAATAGTACGTGTATAAATATTTCAATAATTTGCGTTAAGTTGTATTCCAATAGAAAAAAGAAAAAAAAAAAATAAGTAAAAATATTCAATTAATTAAGAATAACAAAAGAACAAATTAAAATACATACGTATAGTTCCATATCTAATGCATCATAGAATCCAATAATTCCATGCTTGGATGTACAGTAATCTACCAAATACGGAAAACTACGAAAACCAGCTATACTTGCTATACTTACAATATGACCTTTATTACATTCTATCATTCCTGGAAGGAATGCTTTCGTTGTCTACAACAAAAAAAAGGACAACATTATTTTGATCATCGTAAAAACTGTAGATTTTTGTTAAATTGTATATCATCTGGTTCAAGTCACATGACATTTTTATTAATAAATTTTATTCTTGAGATCAATCGATATAATTAAAATCGTTGAAATTAGTTTCAATAACTAAAACAGGAAAACGTGTGGTAACACTTATTAAGATTGAGCTAATTAATTAATTCAACATACGTTTGATGATCTTATTATTTTGTTTTATACTTGTCATTGCTTGTATTGTTACAAGAATAAAATTTATATTTCACCATGATATGGATATAGATCAATTTTAATAAAATTAAAGTTACATAGGCTTTAAATATATATGTATTATTTTTGATTTACGTACCCAAAATTGACTTATAATATTTACTTGCATCGTTTGCATAAGTTTATTGTCCGGAATATTTTGGAATTTCTGAACATTAATTACTCCTGCATTATTTATCAATATGGTCACCTTAAAATTATTGAAATATGAGAAAAATAACTCTGCATTATTTTATGTGATTATAATACAATGATATTATTTACGATAACAATAATAATTAAAGTAAGCGATATAATTATACATATATAATATTTTGTTTGTTCTTTGAAAAAAAAAAAAAAAAAAAAGAAATTATTAACGAAATTTCTAATGTCCATTACTAACCTTGCCGATTTCTTTTTTTAACTGTCTTGCCCTCTCATAAACTTCTTCGCGATTAATTATATTACAAACGTAACCGTAACAAATTCCACCCGCGTCTTGTATTAATTTTACTGTTTCTTCGATACCTAAAAAAAAAGGAAAAGCATTAATCGGATGTAGAATTTTCTTTGTCAATGTGTTCATTTTTTCAATTATTTGTATTTATTTAAAAATTACTTTCGCACGTGATTATCTTTCTTCGGATTATATTTTAGGGGGTAGAAAGTAAATCATAATATATCGAGTGTCTTAATATAAAAAATTTAATGAATTGAAAATGATAGGAAAATATATTATAAAAATATTAAAGAATAAAATTGATACATTAAAATGCTGTGCAACTGTTCTTTTTTTATATAATAATGTATTTGAAAAATATTCTATAATATTTTACTAACCTTTTTCGTTGATGTCCCATATGACAACGATAACACCATGCTTAGATAATTCTATGGCTATAGATCTTCCTAATCCACCAGCTCCGCCAGTTACCAATGCAATTTCTCCGCTTATTTCCTTCATTTTATATTTTAAGGGAATAAATATTTTTATTATCTCCCAAACGAGTTTTGCGAGAAACATTATAACGCCAAGTACTTGCAATATAATTTGCAAGAAATCCATTTAGTCTAAAAATAAAGAAAAGAAAAAAAAAAAAAGAAAAAAGAAAGAAAAACAATTAGAAGTATAATTTTGAATTTCATATTTTAATAAATGCATTTAATGATAAATAAATAAAAATGTATGTAATGCAATGCATAAATATAAAGGAAAATGGAGTCGTTTTTTAAATCTTTGTTTATATTTGGAAATCAGATTGATCAATCGATCAATCATTTATGCACAATAATATAATATTAGTATTAATATTAGTTATTCGGTGTTATGCAAATCAAGGTATTAGTTTTTTCTCGTAGTACAGGCTGAGATTTGGAAAGGTTCTCAAGGTCGTATTAAAATAATAGAAATGCTCACAATTTTTTTTTTTTGATTTCGTAGATTTGCGTAGAGTTCGTAAATTGTAAATTCGTAAAGTGTGTACGTGTTTGGTGGAGAATTGGTTTCACTAAACTGATACGACAGGTTGAATTAGATTAACTGATTTGAAAATACTAAAAGTTGTTTTCTATTTCTCCCAGTTGTTCATACTTTCCATTTTATATAAGCCCCCTACATCATTCAGTAAAAAGTAGGTGCGTGAGAGTGTGTGTGCAGAGGGGAGAAGAAGGAGAAAGGGAAAACGAGATTGGACCTGGTCTTTGAAAATATTTAATTAAAAATTTTGTTGTCTTTTTTGCATTTGCCGTTTTGCATGATATATCATTTAACCTTATTAATTATGACATATACAATTCGTTTTACTTTAACTGATTTTGGTTAATTATTAGTTTGTTTGTCTTCCGTGTTAAATTTTTGTCTTGTTTCGTTCGTGCTTAATCATTATGCTTTACATTGTTACGAAAAGTGTGRTCTGTTTTTGATCGTGCAAAAAATGACGTAAAAAATGGCAAATGAGTTAGCGAGCGAGCGATCAGTTGTAGTTTTGAAAAACTGAATGGGAAGATAGTAGGTAAACTGTAATTTTAATTGGAATTCTATTACAATATAAATGGATGATAAAGCATTAAACTTATAAGATGCTTACTTTTATTTGCAGCTGGTGAGATAAGCCTCTCTGCCTCTGGTTCGATAAACAACAATAAAGTAATTTGAAAATCGCGAGAGTAATAATTGAATTTTATTAACTTTCAAATTCGCGTTTATCTTCAATATTTATTCTTTAACATTACCTATCAATCTTCTATATATATATATTGAATATTTAATTGAATTAAAACTGCATACAGATTTATTAATTAAAACAGAGTTAAGATTTTATTAACTAAAAGAGAAAAGTCAGGTTTGAAAGAAATATTATAAGTGTCCAGTTCTTTCCACCAGATCGTTTATATAAGCTGATTTCTCCCACTTCTTTGATGAGTTGTTATCTGTTGCTACTTTGTTGAATAACAAATCAATTTGTAGGATAATAAATTTTCCGATAAAAAACTTAGTTTCCTATTGGATAGTTACAATAATGTGTTTAAGTTTCATTGTTTTTTATGAATTAACAAGATGGTACCTTCCAAGATTGAACTTAATAGGATGAAGTCATTGGAATTTATAACTTTATTTATCATTCTTTTTGGGTTACATAACCATGATCTGTGACGATTAAAATATAGCAGAAAATAAAAGATAAACGGCTAAAGACGTGATTAACATATTCAATATACTTCTTAATTAATTCTACTTTACATAAAGGTGTTACTATTCACAAATAATAGAAATATTTATGTGGTAATAAATAGATGATTTACTATTTAAATGTTGTTTATGTTAATATATATGTTATAGTGAAAATAGAGTTTTCCGAGTATGTGAGTTTGGTCTAGGCATTGGCAGTCTTAAAAACCCGCAGCATGCTCGCTTTTGTGTGTGTCCCTATTACCTGATAATGTATTTTTCTAGACATTTCTTAAATAGTAATTTGATATTCTATAGGATATCAAAGTATTATGTAAAACGCCTAAGAAAATTCCATAGTAATTCTTCTGTTTCCTACGTTGTCAAAAACCGCTTGGTATTATGGCCAATGTCTAGACCAAGCTTACATTCTATTCCCTGAGAACCCTACTTTCCCTATAACATATATATATATATATATATATATATATATATATAAAAGTACGGAAATATTCGAGTGTTTCGTATACACGTGATTATCTGAAACAGCAAAACGCATAACTCGTGTCTATAAATGGTCAAACACGATACCGTGGGAATCATTCCATTTTTCCGCGTTAAATTTCCCAACAAGCGAAACTGTAATACTTTTTTTTACTTTATATATACGCATTTGGATCTATATATATATATTTATATATATAAAAAAACTATTATAATAAGAAATGAGACAAAATATAATGCGATATATACGATCTAGAAAAATAATTCTAGTGATGTTAACACTATGACGACGTCCGGTAACACCACAGTGGTATCACACGCGAAGTGTTGCTCAACGGCCGGTTACACCACAATGGTATTCTGCACAAAGCGTAGCTCTATACCCGGCAACATCTCCCAAGATTCAGTAAGAAAACGAATGGCCGTGCATAACCGAAGTAATCCGAAGTAGCGCTGCCAGCGCCAAAGGAAGAAGCCATTTTTTCGAAACGCCCAAACGTCAAAGTACACTGTACTGACCGAAAGCCTATTAATCGGCTATTTATCGCCCACGCTTACAGATCAATAAACGTATTAATCGCTTTTGTTGCATTGTTGTTAGAGAATATTTTATTCAATCTAATTATCCTATAATATATCCTGTAATAACAGAAATCGGACAATTCTCTCTGAGCATACGAAACACATAGATACTCCCGTTATATGGTGTAGACCGTAAAACAGCCACCGCCAGAGAGTGCGTATACTGTTGAACCGCTAGCTATCGGTAAAGTGTTAAGAAACTTGTGGGTGAATTAAAATATTGATTTAGATCATTAACTTCATTATATTAAAACGTCGACGCGTTTGTATGCACATTGATATTATTATTATTATTTGAGTGATTTGAAATCTCAACGCAACGTGTTATTTATTATTTATTACGAGAAAATATAACGAAAGAAATAATTTATTATTTAATTCCCCTTCGCCCTTCTTCCACCCACCCCCTCTCCTCCCAAAGAATTGTTTTTGTTTCGTGGTTCCAAATCATTTTTTTTCAAATACCCCTTGTTGCATTCGAGGAAACAGAGAGAGTATAATAACGTATAAGTTTAAAGTTGACCTAGTAATATTCCGAAAGTAAATGTAAGCAAAGTGAAGACGACCATGTGTAAAAGTAGGTAAAACTCCATAGACATTATGTGGTGAAGGCAAATGTCATCGGAGTTGCATCTTCTATCTTTTCCATTGGCTTAGCTTTCATCGTCAGCCATTAAACTGTTATACGTTAACCTTTTGGAGAAAGATCGTAAGTAGGAGGCACGTGCCTCTTCTTCTTCTTCTTCTTCTTCTGATTTTTATTTTTATTTTTATTTTCCTCTTTCTCTGTGTATTCTTTAATACGATATAGGAGTCAGTTGTTTTTGCGTTGTTTTATCTATGTGAGACCTCAAATGTGCATCACATAGTACATTTTATAAACAATCACGTATGCTTTTCCATTGCATGATTTTTGAATTATTATTGAAGAAGTGTTATTATTGTTTTTGTTTTGTTTTTTAGCTTTTATGGAAAACATTTGTTTTCATTTTAGAACGTGTATGTGTGTGTGTGTGTGTGTGTGTGTGTGTGTGTGTGTGTAGCTTGGATAACATTAACATTTTATTTCTCGACAAGTTTACGGATAAAGAATTAATTAATATTATGGGGATTTTTTTATGTAATTATGTGCATTTGTCTTCTTAAAATTTGAATAACAAATTAATTTATACCGTAAAAATAAAATTGAGATTATTATTTTTGTTTTGTTTTTTTGGGTTTGTTCGATTCAATGCAGACGTGGTTGGTGTATTTTTTTTTTTCTTTTTCTCCATCGATTTAAATAATAATAATTAATAAAACAGTGTGTTTACGCGGTTAAATTCATCGGTAAATGAATTACCGAGGATATAATGAGTTGATAATTTATTATAATATAATATAAATGCAATAACGTTTTAATGTGCATTATTTGAACGAATTATAAAAGGGATACTTTTTAATTATAATTATCATAAATAAATATAAAAAAAAAATGAGAGATAACATCCCGGGGTAGAATTTTGTCTTCAAAATTGAAAACCACCGGTAATGTGTTTAAAAAAG